TACTGAAATTAAAAGTTGAAAAAAACACCTTGTTCTGAACGGGAACTCAAGAACCACTATTTCAGCAGTGGCAATGAGATAGATAGAAATATATCCTGAGCCCTGTGTTTGTGTAATGTGACATATTTGAGTACTGGAAAAGTGTGTCCTGCAGTTTGGGAAACTCAGTATATTGCCTTGAATCATAGGGCTCCTAAGGCATGCTTGTAAATGAAAGGTAAATTAGTTTTGTGTAATGACAAATACCTCTCCTGTGCTCTAAGCTCACTTAAATAATTTTTGCCTGTTGCTACTGCTCTGAGAGAAAAAGAGTACAAATACTGGAAGTCAATGGTACTAATGTATAAACCATGGTACTTTCTTGGGGTCAGAAGGATGGAGGAGGAAAAGAAATTTTTGCTTCTAAACAGCCTGGAAGAAGTGAAGATAGCGTCTATATATTGTCGTCATGTAGTTGGCACAGTGTACAAGCCAGTGACAATACATAATTGAATTAATACTGCAAATGTTTGAACCTGCATAATCGAATGTGGAACATTTACTGATTTTTAGAAAGACCTTGGGAAGGATGGAATACGTTACATTTTTTCTGTTTATTGTAAGACAAAATGTTTCACGTGAGCTGCTTTTTTTGTTTTCCACAGTGATCCTTTTTCCACCAAGAAACTGATGATATCTCCTGTCAGTTATGCCTTTAGAAGCCCTTTTGAGCATCATGACAATTTTTTTGCATGATCATCAGGATCTAGTGTATTAAATTTTTAACTATTGACATCATCTGAGAGTGGAATAGAATTATCACTGTAACCAAATGCCACAAGCTTAAGGGAAGAGAAGACACTGGAAAGAAACAGTGCCTGTATAGTTAACCTGGAGAGCTAAAGCTTTGCAGTGTGGAGCATGCTTCTCTCCCAGTTGCACTGGGAAACTGGTTCAAAATCACCTTTAATTGAAATTGATTATAAACAAGGCAAGGCTTATAGGTAAAGGTATTGTCCTTCTATAGAGCAATTAATATAACAAACTTCCCAAGCTTTTGGTACTACAAAGACCGTTCTGATCTGAAGCAGACACAGCAAACTTCTGGTGAACTGCTACTGTTATGCTGTTGGGGTCCCCTCTGTTTGCAGCTATCCTTCTGGGAAGTCAAAGTGTGGGTGACAGTTGCAGCTTGCCTCCTTCCCACCCACCCACAAAAGCTAGCCAAGCTATCACATTTCCTTTTCAACTAAGCTTCAGTTAATTCTGACCTTACAGCCTGCATCTGTAGGATAATCACAGAAATGGGAAATGTTAATATGTGCCTTGGGAGGCTGGCGCTCCAGTCCTGTCTGGTTTAATGAGACAGCACATTTGGAAGGATGTAACGCAATACAAACTCACCATGCTTATCCCCAGCATCCCAAGTATTTGTGTTTATAGTGACTGGCTTTATGCTATTTGAAGTGATGCAGTTTCAAACAATGTGGTTACCCATGTAGAAGCCCCCTGATTGAAAAGATGAGTATAGCAATAAAAATTATTCATTGGTTTTATCTGCTTGCTGGGGGATTTGAGATATTAGGTGGTGGATTATTGTGTGCTTACCCTGGGCCAAGGTTTTAACAGGTTACAAGCAGATGACTTTGCTTGACTGACTTACCACTTTGTGATGGTATTCATTCTGTTTATGTTACATATCTGTTCATCTCTTCCATTTGCAGAATCTGTGAAGTATTTGATGTATTTGTATAAGTACTTTGATTACTGAAAATATGTTCTGAATTAGATGCCGTTACTGTACAACAATACACTAACAACATTCTGAGATCATTTAAAGCCCTTTGTTTAATAACACACAATGTTATCAGACTGCTACAGTAAATAACATTAAAAAGCAATTTGTAGAAGTGAAGAGGTTTTGAATTCCAGAATTCTGGGGGTGGTATCAAATTGGCATATCTGTTTCTGTCCTTTATTTTTTAGTGAAACGTTTTTCTATTGATTCTTGAGAAAAACTTCCCATCACATCAGGCATTCAGGTTTCAGTTTTGACAACTGCACCTCTAAAACTCATCTCCAGTGTAAATTTCGAGGTTGAAGTTGAAAGCATAAAAATTTCTGTTCTTTTTGTTTTCCTTTTAGTTACAGTACTTAAGAGTCACGAGTTGCTTTTTGTAGCCACAATGACTGGACATGCTTCATTTCCTCTAAAATAAAAGCTAGTATTTTCATGGAATTGTGTAATTTCAGAATAAAATAAAAATTATTTAGAAACTTTTATGAGATCATTATAACGATGTAATTATCATAACAAGATTATTCTTAAATCTCTTCATGTAAACAGTACAATTTTTTTTCTTCTACTTCCCTCTGTTATGCACAATTACTTGTATTGCAATTCCTTTGCTGCTGGAGCAGCCAAAGCTGTGTAAATATCATACATCAAGCTGTACCTTATGAAAGCAAGTGAAGTCTAAATACAGGTGTAGGGTACACGATGCATTGTATAACTTGAGAATGCAAAGGAGCTTGCATGGAAGCTGTTGCTAGGTCATGTTCAGGACTTAGGAAACGTAGGAGATAACAAGACCTAGAAAAATGTGTGCCTGTATTCTCTTGCTCCCCATATTCTTCATGTGTGTCATTAAAGCTTCCTTCTGTCCTGTCCCAGAGGTATTCTAATCAAAAGGCAAAACTGTTGGCTTTGGGATGTTGAAATAGTTCTAGGTATGCTGTCCACAAGAAGAGTGCTCCAAAACTCAGAGGGATAGAAATTTTCCATTGGGAAAACTTGTCTCTTCCAAGGTTTTCCACTTTTTTTTCCATATATACTTGTTTTTGTTTGAAGTACTACAAATGTTTGGTGTCTTCATATCATTGTAAAGATAATTTTGAACTGTTCCATTATATGGTTTGAAATACGGTTTGGTTCTTTCTTTCCAGTGGTTTGAAGATTGCCAAATGAGACAAATGTTGCCATTCAAAAGAAAAATAATTACAAGCATTATCTGTACTTGAAAAACAGGTCTATGCATCTGTATCTAAATATAAAGATTCTGTAGTCAATAGAAAATGATGCAAGTTAACGTGTAGCATTTGATAATTTGAATTTTCTTGATGTATCAAATACTTGTTCTCTGTAAATGCTGAACCATGAATAATTTACTGGCTTTCTCTTTATAATATACAGTGTCTGCTAGCTTTGAAGTTCTGTAGTCAACTCAAAAGTTTGCAGGAGCTGACTAATGATTCACTAGAGATTTTGGAGATATATTTTGTCATCAATTTAAAGCTTGGGAGAGGTTTGCTGTTGCAGCCATCTGGTAATTCTTGGTTCTCTGGAGGAAAGAGAAGCCTTTTGATAAAATAGATCAAAGCATTCTGCTCTTTCAGTGACTGATACCTATAAGTAACTTAGAAGTTTCTCAAAATGGTTTCACAATGCCTGTCTCATTTGCCAAAGTTCTGCATTCCAGTTACAATACAATACTGGACATCAATTATTTTACTGATATTTAAATCATCATTTAAATACCTCTATTAATGGATAATTTACAGATCTAAGTGTTTTGTAAACCCAGAGATTTCTGATTTACCAAATACCCTGTAATGATTAATAACATCAATGCTAAATCTTGTTGTTCTTTGTCCTAACTGTACAGAGAAGGGCACTCTTGAAGACTGTACTTCTGGTATACCATAAGCCTCAGATTTAGACACACCTCTCAGACCAGAGGGGATGTATAACTATAGTGTAAAAATGTATACGACAGTATTTCTAGAACTAATTCTGTCAGCAGTTGGAATTCTGGCGTGGGGTTTGCAGATGTTTGGCAGTGAAGAGCAAACATGGAGAGAAGAGGGAGCTAGGACGGGAAGCATGTGCTGCAACATCAACTTGACAGGAGACCAGCCTAATGCACACACACACTTGAAATTTGTCTGGAATCAGGATGTTGTTTCTGTTCCGTCAGACATTCCGGGCGTGCGATTGCCATGACCACACATGTCCAGTCTTCTCAGAGCAAGTTCATTGCATCACAAGTGCAGCACAGGCAGCCAAACCTGGATGAGGAAATTGGCTTTTACCTGGCAAGTTGTTTGGTTAAAGGGTGTCCGAGTGAGGTTTGGTGTGTTACAGTAGAAGAACAGGAAAGCATTTGCTTGTAGTGCGCCATGATCTGTGCCACTATTCTCTTGCTAGGGGGGAGTTAGTGCTCAGCCCACTACGATGTGTTTGTGCTGTTCACTCTTCCTTGTATTAGAAGCTCATTGCAATGATTGATGTACTGAGGAAAGAATAATTAAACCTCGTATGTTACACTGCCCTTAATTAAAGCCTATCAAGATGTTTCAGAAATAGTTGATGTCTTGGGATGTAGCCTGTATCACCCTAACAACTATATAGGGTGTTTATTCATAGGTTACCCTTGTTGTCATTTAACCATTCAAAGTACACCACTGGCTAAATGAGAGATGGCAGTGGATATTAGGTCATACCACAAGTTCTTCAGACTTACTGTTCTTTACATTAGGTAGTTTGGAGAGAGGAAGAGAATTGTATAGAGGAAAAGACTTCTCAGAGGCTAAATTTTTAAGGACTTAATAGAATGTAAACTAGATAAATAATAAGGTACTAAATTCTCAGAAAATAGAATGATGGGAGTTTGGTGAAGGAATAGGTAATTCTCCACACATAAAAATTTGCTTGAAATCAGATTGAGAAGTGGCACATAGATAGAAGAAAATTCCATGTACTTGGGGTTGTAGTTGTTAAAACTTTTCAGTGAGCTGTTCAAGACAGATCTGTTGCTCTTGTTCCTCATTAAGTACACAAACAATGTTAAATCTATAATTCCATGCATCATAATCTTCCACAGTTTTATGTTCTGCCTGCTCTATCTTGGAATCAGATGCAGATGCTTACCTGATGGCTTACCTCATTGTCTGGTCAACATGTGCTTCCTAGCAGCTCCAGTTGAACTCTTTTTTTCTTTCTTTTTTTTTTTTTTTTTCTTTTTCAGTGTGGGAACTTTGCTGTTTTGGTGGATGTTCATATTTTGCCTGAAGGCTCCAGTAAAGACACCAGCTGGTTTTCAGATCATGAGAAAGAGGTATAACAAATATCATTTCTACTTCAAAAGCATGTGGCTGCAGGGAAAAAGTTGGATTGCCTTGAACCGTTTGGAATTTTTCAGTGCTCTGAGAATATTGTTAGTTACACCTAATGTCAAGGGCTGCTGTGGGACCTCTAAGTCAACCATATGTGCTTTTAGGGTCACTAATGACCACTTTGAGTTTGCCTTTTAATTTTTAAACTGTGTGTATATGTGCATGATGTTTTGATTCTTCTGACTTTTAATTTTAAAAGTATATTTCTCATGAATGTTTGTAAGCTATCCTGAGTGACATAAACCCGACTGTGACAGGTATCATTTTTGCAGAGCTTGTTGGTGAAACATCTTTTTATTGATTGTTTTTTTCTTGTTCCAAGAAGCGTGAGTGGTGTTGCACTTAGAGTGTATAGAAAACATAATGAGAATGCAAACTATAGCAGAACTGTTGCATCTTATGGAAAGAAACACAGAGTCTTTATTTTTAAGTGTATCATTTGTACATCCTGACCACAGGTGAAGTTTTGGGAAATCAGTCCATCAGTGACCAGCAAAATTACGAATGTAACTTTCATCAGATTCTGTGTGGTTGCTGCTACAACCTTGTGATGAGTTACTGGTGGGAGTTTTCCCCTCTGTCAGCCTGTGTGGGAACTTGCAGAGTTCCCCATTGCAGACGAGCGCAGGACGTGTCTCAAATGCCTGTGGACTTTCCCGCCCGTCTCCCTTACGGTCATTTGCAGCAGATAGCTTTCCTAATAATGGCATCATTAACTTGTCACTACAGAGCATCCCTCTACGCCTCAAAGTAAGAGTTTTAAATAAAATTAAAAGAAAGAATAAATTAATATCCTGAGGGAGCGACTGCGGGATATTTAACAGCATGTGGTTCACCGATTTATGCTTTAAGCAGAGAAAGAAGAAACTAGGGGAAATCTTCTAGACTTCTTTTTTCTGACTAAATGAATGCTCATTACCGCTTCTATTTATAACCAGTTTTACTGCCCCGGTTATCTGACTTCTAAGTGTTTTCAAAAAGTATTTTGTAAGACTGCCAAAACAAAAGATATGAATTTCAGGAAATTAGATCATGATTGATTTAATAAAGAGGCATGACAGGGCAGCATTCATTACATTTCTGTGACCGCACATTTTGAGTGAAGTACAAAGGTTGCATATTTTTGACAACTGAGATGTGTGATTCCAATAACTTTACATCTTGCTTCCTGAAAGTCCTACGCAGAATCTTTGTTAAAGCAGGAAGAAAAAGGTCCGTAAGGTATTGCAGGCAAATTATGCCTACATAGATTGCTTTTTTAAATGGGAGATTTTACATATCCATTGCAAGCAGTTTTCTACGTTTTTACTGTTTCCAGACTCTGGACAAAGGTGACAGTGGTGCAGCCCTCTTTGCTTATCCGTGGGAAAAGGAGATGTCTTTTAGACCTCTTGTAACACAAACACTGTGTCTGCTGATCCTCTGCTTACCCTGGATGAAAGTCAGTGGCTGCTGTTTGTTACAAACAGGGCTTGGAGATGTGGACGCAGGCAGGAGGAGGGAGCAGAGCTGCCCTTCAGCTGCCAGCTCCTGCTCAGAGCCTGGGTCACCTGGAGCAGTGGGAACGAAACGAGTGCCCGTGAGCAGGAGGCTGGTGTAAGGAAGGGCAGTGCACCTTGTCTGGCTGGCATTGTGATGACCTCACTTGGCAAGCTTTTGGGAGCTTTTCTCTCTTAGTGCCCTTCAAATTTCTCTGCCCTCTCTGCCCCATCTCCTTTTCCATGGAATAACAAAGACAATGTTTTATCTTTGTACTTTGAGAAACATTTATTAAACTGATTTCTATTCATGCCATTGCCACGATCTCGCCATATGCACGCAGAAAGTCTCAGGTAAAAGTTCTTCTTAGCAGTGGAAAGTACATAAATAAAATGCTCTTGAAGAAGCCTGCCCTTGTTTATGTTTTCTTAACTATGGTTCTCTATAGTTCTTTGTGGAAAACCATTTAAATAATATTTACATTAGCATAACAACTAAACTGTTTTCCATGTAAATTAAGGAAGGTCATGCTAATCTTTACTGTTGCAGAAGGAACCAAATGCACACCATGTTTCCTCTGCTTTCTAGACATTTTCATTCTAACCTGAATGCACAGTCCTGTGAAGGAATGTGTAAGGAGATCACTTTAATGAGTTAAACAGAAGAGTAAGTAAATACAGTATTTTATAATTGTGCTCTTCAAGCAGAAAGGAAAATGTGTTTCTTACTGTAAGGAGAAAATGCTGTTTGTGGTCGAGGAACGCATGTGCACTGCTTTCATTTACAGCAATATGTTAAAAAATTGTTGCCCTGCATACTTTCTAAATTAATCAAAAGTACATTTCAAGCCAAGATATTTTAGTTTAGATAGTACTAATATAATTCTGTCTCTTGTCCAAACACCGTAAGAAGGTAAAATGATATTTTTATGTGCCACAAAGTGTCATTTCTGTGAGCACATAGTTAGGCACAACGGAAAATGAGAATATTGAGGGAAAAGTCTCAAGTGTGTGTGTGTATTAATCTGAAAGCTTACCTCTGGTATTGAAGAAATTAATTTTTTGCTTTTACTCCAAGTATTTTTTCTGTGGTTATTCTGGCTGCAGGGCTTGTTCTTCCTGAGTTGAATGTGGTTTTTGTGCTTTGCAGAAGGAAGTATGAAAGATATGAATGGTTATGCTTAGGAGCAGAAAGATCAAAATGAACTAGGGAAGTTAGGTTGCTGTGACCTGATTACCTCTCAGTCTTCCCCCCAAAAATTACACTAAATTGAACCAAAATATCTGTTGTAGTTTATAAGGACTCTTGCCAAGAAACAGTGGATTGACAGTTCCTGGGAGGGTTTTTACTAATATTTTGCCTAAATACCTAATGTTGTGATACATCTTTAGCATGTGTTTATTTCCTGCTTTGTATACAAATGAAACTAATTTGTTGTTCAAAAATGCTAAGTATGGTAATATAATGTACTTCATCTCCCAGGTGAGAATTTCATAACGTACTTTCTCTCTTGTTTTATGGCAAAAGGTTTGATTCCCTTCTTCCTTGTTCCCATTAATTTCCTAAATTATGTACTAGGTAATATCTCAGTACTTAACTGTAGGTAATTTTTGTCCTTTTTTTTTGTGGAAGGCAGTGATTTTTGTATTGATTTCTGCTGTGTCTGTGGACATGCGTGTACATAAAAAGGCCAATGGTTACTCTTCCAGGAAGTCTGCAGCCTGCTAGAAGAAGTTGTTGCTTCAAGGGTCAAACACTACTTGGAAAAACCTAAACAGCGTGGTCACTGGAGATCAGTGGAACATGCATCATCTGGTCCTATGTTTCTTACAGGTAAATGAAATTATTTAACTTACTGGGAGGTAAAGTAAGATAAAGTATAGTGGAAACTTCTGGGTTTAATTTTCCAGGAGAAGCTTGCCATTGGCAAATCCAGTAAGCTGAAAATACTGAAAAACTAAATCCTGAAATAGCTGGTGTTTGGGTGTGAAATGACTTCAGATGGGCTATTGAAAAGAATAAAGGGGTTTTAATGTTCTGTGTTGTTAAAAAATTCTCATAAAGCTTGCACTATTAAGATGAGAAGCCTATCATTCTGTGCAGAAGTGAACACTAGTGAGAGCACCGGAACTTTTTGTGTGTACAAAAAAGATAAATTCTTTGCCTTTCAAATTATTTTCAGGTATTGAAAAGTTATGTTCCTATGGAATTGTAGTTGATGATTGCAGCTTTAATGCTATTATCAGTATTAATGAGTATTTTTAATAAAGAAAACACAGGTTAAATACTGGAGTGCTGGCTTATTATTGCAAAATTTTAGGCATGTCTGGGAGCCAGATTGTTAGGGCATGATGGGAGGGTTTTTTCCACCCACAAGAACACAAGACCACATAAGTGAAAAGTGCTTCAGGACACTAAAAGATTTGAAATTCTTTTTTTTTTTTTTTCCTTTTAAAGTTGTAGCTACATTTTGTCCCTTTTAAAATCCTGGTAATGTTTATAAAACACATGAAGTTTCAGATCCCAGTACTTCTCTGCTTTTGACTGAACAAATAGAATTTTTTTACAGTAAAACACATTGCAGAGGATGGGATCAGAATTTCTGAGATTTATTGAGGTTTTTCTGTGTTTTCTTTTACGAAGTGATAGTTTTTCTGATTTATTTTCAAAATAAATATGAAATAAATAAAACCTATGTTTGAAAACATAGGTTTTCAAAAACAATGATTTTGTAAGATAAAGTTACCAGGCATAATGGTTGTTTTTATATATGCAGACACATGCAACGCTAGTTTGAGGGTTTACTTGAGATTGTAGTGTCTTATATTTTATTTTGTCGTGAACTTTTCAATAAAAATACTGATATGTTGTGTCAGGGTTGTGAACTTATCTTCTGCTTGACTCTTCCCCTTATTTCCTGAAAATAAAAAATTTAAGGATAGGCATTTGAGGAGGTCATCAGTAGTATCTATGATACTTGTAGATGAAAGGATATTTACTTTGGATGAGGTAGAATTACTGTTCCATCAGTTTTCTGCAGTTAATCTCACTGTCATTAATTAACACTGAAGAAATAAAAGAAGAAATTAGTCTGTGGTAACGATAGTTTGTGTTGAACTTCATTTGCAAATCCATCTCTTTTCCCCTCTCTTCTCTCAGCCTGCTTTGCTCAGGGCTGCAATTTGTAAGAAAGAAGCACTTTGTTCACGTCCAAGAATCAAATTTATTCAAATTATGTTCAAGTCTGTTCTTACCTGTGAAGGAAAGAACAGAATAAGTGAGTGTTCACTGCAGCAACTGGGACCTGCCTCTGTGGGACTGTCCCTTTTAGGTGAGCCACAAGGTTCATAGTCTTTAGAACTTATCAGAACTCAGACATGACTCAGAAACGTCTTGTGTTTTGCCTTCCTTTCTAGGATCAGAGGCTCTGTTTGCAGGGCACAGGGATATGGTTTTGTGTTTTCTCACAAACAGATGAAGTGCAAGATAGCTGGGCAGTGTTTGGCTGGGACACTGTTTTGTAGTATACAAAGAAATGCATGAGGTTGGTATGTGGCTAACTACATACACATAGTGCAGGTGCTGCTGGTGAAATGCTTAAGCTCTTGTTGCATTTGGAGGTTATTAAAAGGCTTTGAGCTCTTCAAACTGAATGTGGCTTCTCTTGCTCAAACTTATGCAAGTCTGTGTCTAGAGTTCCACTGCTGGAAAAACCCCACTACTGTTAAGGAAGAGTGTATCTGTGGAAGGAACATTCAGATGTGTATTAGCTGGTTATTTACTACTTCATGAATCCTGGGTCAGCATCCCACCCTTATTTGAACTTGCATCTTTTCAGGTCAGTTTTAATTAATTAGCTCTCCACGTTGCAGGATGTATTCAAGATTCATTAGAATCAAAATTATTAGACCAGTATTAGTAATATCTTAGATTACCTCTAACATCAAAGCATGTTGTATTAGGATTTTATGCAAAAGCAGAAGCCAAAGCTACCCTACTTGGGTGAGCATATCTCCTCCTGCTCTCTAGATCTGTTGAGCAGAGAAGAAGGTTGTTAAGCTGGCTACCATAACTGTTTTGATGAAAGAATTTTCACCTATCACAATTTATTTTTAGTATTAATGACATACTATCTTTAATGTTATTTAATACCACCTTTCAGATTTGTGGCAGATAATATAAATATCCATGCATATCACTTGTTAATTTACATTTCTTTTTGATTTAAGTTACACCCACACAGCAGTGTGTGGTGGGTCGCATACCATCTCATTAGGAAATCTGTGGGTGTTACACACAGGAGAAGAAAGAAAGAAAGAAAGAATGGAAAAATGAGAGAAAGTAGCCAAGACAAGCAAGTTCTTCCTATTCTTCCTTCTGTCTGAACAATTTCCCCACCCCTCCCAAATGGCCAGTATGAACAATTTGCCAAAGTAAGCTTTAATTTAGTCTTTGGACATAGGCTTTGGTATAAACTCCTGATTTCCTGTGTTTCATTAATATTCAAACCTGTTTGATTTTGGTTTATTTTTTTTAAGAGAATATTAAAATGGGGGAGATTGTAAAAGATTTTTATTTCACCTGCCTGCAATCTACGTGGCCAAAATCATGCAAGGAGGGAAACAATCAGGTATGGTTCATTTGCATTATTTGAAGTTCGATGAATATAGGCCATCCAGTAACAAACCCCATGTATTAGTGAATTTTTCTCATTTTAAAAGAACCAAAACACTATTTCAGTGTACAAATGTGTAATCTTTTCGGTTAGAATTTATGCTTCCATACATTTGCACCATACATTTACAGTTTGCACCACTTGGTGCTCAGTACAACATACTGGGTTTTGGTGGTGATGTCAAGGGTATTAGTGTGTCATAAGGCTCCTCTACTGTAGGCTTCAACTAAAAGCAGAGCCTGTTTTTTCATTTTTCACAGAAGGTGCCTGGTTTTGATTAAGAGCAATGAGAATTAAATAACAAGAGGCTATAAAGAGGACTGAGTGGAGATAATAAATTGAAGAGAATGACAAAAGTAGGACTGGAAAATTAAGGCAGAAGGGTAAGTTCACATGGGCACAGAGGAAACAAAAAGGAGGTTGTAGAAACAAAATATGGCTGATAGAAATGTCCACAGTAGAAATGGAAGGAAGGAAGAAGGTGTCTTGACCTTCTTCCCTATCTTGAAGGAGGAAAAGTTAACTGTTTTTTCTACAAGTAATTTTCAGATCTTTTCTCATTCCTTCCTTAGCATCCATGTTGATTTTCTAGGCTTGAGAGTGGATTTTTTTTTTTGCTCTGCTTTCAGATCTTTTTATTGTACAATCTATTCTACAGTGAAAATCATTAGAGACCATGCTGTCACATGGTACAGTGAGCTCCCAGCTTGATTTTGTCTGCTTCCTCTGAGATTGTGTATATTTAAAAAAATATTTTTAACCTAGTTTTATAAGGAAATGAGGCTTATTGTGATCATGATTTCATAAGAAAATGTATTTCTATTGGTTATGAAACCATTTCTTTGGCTCTTGTAAGCATGAAAATAAACAAAGAACAAAAAATAACACAAAAAAATCCCCAAAACAATAATCACAATGGTAAATATTCCCAACAACATGTTTTGGCCTTGCATTTTAATTTGAACATGATGATGTGTTAGGGAAAACAACCTTTTCAGACTGCCCAGGTTTGCTTTAGGAGTGTTCACTTCTACTGTAGAAAGTGAATTGTGTAAGTTGTTGTAAGGTACGTTCCATGTTACAATCCTGTACCTGTAAAACCTTCCCAGCTGTTAACTCTTACTCTTCTGCTGTGAAAAGGTCTTTTGTGTGGTTTTAACTAGAGATATTTTGCCTATCATGCTTAAAGAGCAACCCCACAGAAATTTGATGGGTGCAACTGGAGGGAAAATAAGCTGTGGTAGATAAGCTACCACAGGGGACTGAGGAGATCAGAAGTCTTCTTAAATGAACTTTGATGTTTGCAGTTGCACATTGTAATGTCTCTCTCAAAAGAATTATATTTCATTCCATTCTTTACAATGGACTAATTTGTGGCCAAGTCCTGCAGATATTTGTGAACTTTAAGCTTACGTTCATCTGTCTGTGACAACAGAGCCTCATAGTTCCCTGAACTGTGCAGTAACTTATGCAATAACTAATGAAAAATGTTTTGATTAGTATCTCATACTTAATATTTCCTGTTTAGATTTCTATTTTCTAAAGATTTTCTGCTTTAAATTACTATTTTTCTCCATCTTTTTGCAGCCAGCTAACAGGGAATAAAAGCATCTTTCTTTCACCAAAACATTTTTTATTCTAGAAGATCAAGTTGATATATCTGAATATTTTTTTTCTTGTTCTTTACTCTGGGTAGAGAGTATTTGACAAGAATAAAACCCCTCAGATTTATGCACTGTTTAGGCATTTTGTCTGAGAACTAGAGGGCATCAACTGAAGGTATAGGAAGTGCCATGGTAGGCAGCAGAACTGTGGAACTCTTTGCCAAAGGATAGTGACTGTGGTAAGTTCACACTGAGTCCACAGGAACATCGAAGGGTAATCCAGGGAGGGTACAGGGTTCACAGATCTCCTTTAGCTCAGTGAAGGCTGGAGTTGAGAGCACTCAGAGTGTGGGAAAGTGGTGGGGAAATAACCATGTGTGCTTTGCTCTGGTGTTCAGTCTCCCCTTGGAGCCATATACAGCAGCTTCTAAGTGCCAGGCTTTTAGGTACATGGCCTTGGATCTTACCCAGTATGGCCTTTCTTGCCATTGGCCTTTTCTGGAAAAAGCCCACACTCTAAACTCAGCAGTATGTCAGAGTTGGAGTGTTTCAGA